AATTTCTACACAGGCTCTAGTTTCAGATGATGCCAAAGAGCCTGATGCAAATGGCATCTTGCAGCTGAAACGAGGATGTGCCAGTCACAATTTGAATGACGTGAATGTGGTCTTTAAAAGGTCCTCCAGACTGGAAAGAGGGTGTCACCGTCTTGTGGAGGAACTCAGGCTGGTCCCAGCATACCCCACTTTCTGAAATGCCCTGGACGTTCCAGATCTCTGTTCTAGCGCCAGATTCAGCAAGACATTAGGGTGCTTGCCTTGGTGCAAGAGCAGGTGTCTGATCAGTTTGTTTCTCCTGTGTGTACTACACGAAATATTCAGGTCTATGTTAAACACTAGTATACTTCCCCCCAGATTTTGTAAAGCTTTTGTCTTAACTAGGAGAAAAAAAATGGAAAGGAGGCAGGAGCTTTCTGACAAAGTCCACCAGACCTTCCTGTGCCACTTTTAACAGGCCCTACTACTGAGATTTCGATCTTGGTTTTCTCAGTCATTCAACTGGATATTTCAACAATTCACAGCAGTTCTGGCAGCCTAATTAAAGGCATGCTCTGATTTCTGTGCTTTGCTTTTCCATTTTAGGACACGTTGACTGCTCTTATTATTCCACTTGCAGTTGACTATCTTCTTGACCCCATGCTAACAAAGTAACAATATACCTCTTTTTGCTGAATTTGCAAGTCTCAGCAGCAAGCCTGGAAAAAGTCTGCCACACACAGCTTCCATTCCTTGCAGTTTGATCCATAAAATGCGCAGAGGCAATTTTTTGGTTTACTTTGTGAATTCAAATGAAGTTGCTGATTATTCTTGACCGCTACTGGATGAAATTTAATCCTGCCTTGCAAGACTCCTACATAACTCATGACCAACAGTTTGCTTTGGTTCTAATTCAAAAAATCCAAACAACAGAAAATTTCATTCTTATGCTCTCAGAAGAGCACTAACAGGGCAGAAAAAGCAATATTCCAACAGAGTTTTCACAAGAAAGCAATCCATCTCTAGCACATCGCTAATCGTGGAGGTTATTTTTCAGGTGTCAAACAGGTAATATGGAATTTATGCTAAAGCTTGTTATAAAGAGATATCAGATACCGTATCAATTTTAAGATAATTTAAAGGGAGTCAATATAAAGTGAACAACCTATCTGCATTTCTCAACTGCTTTTTTAGATTATGTAGCCAACAGATAATACATGCTTGATAGCATTAAAAGAAACAAGAAGGATCGACACAAAAGCAGGCAACTGATACTTTTTTAAAATGTTTTTTTTTTTAATTTGCCCACAAAAGCTTTCCAAAGGGTCTGCACGCTTGGTATGACAAGGCAGATACTACAAACAGAATTTGTTTGAAAGTGGGTAAGAACTCTTTGATAACTGTAATCCTGTTCAGCACTTATTCTTCAGTTGTTTTAAGCCAACTGAAAGGGAAAAAAAAAGTTGCAATCTTTCTTGAACAGATGCTTCATTTCTCTACCTCAGCAGCAAATACAGATAACCTATATAAAACAGCTCTGAAGTAAAGACCACAGAAGTCAAACCCAGGTTCTCCCCCTTTTTTTTTTTTTTTTTTTTTTGTCATGCACATGATTTAAGCACTTATCTAAAGTTGACATAGTTCAGACAGGATTCAGTTGCCTAAACAGAGACTTCTAAGGCACCGGCTCTAGAAGGAAATAACTCTACCATGTGTCCTAATACATTTTTGCTAGTCTCCTTTTGTTATCTCTGATATTCAGGACATGGAAAGCGTTAAAACTGTGTGATCCAACCCTTACTGACATGACAATAACTGTCAGTAAAAAAAAAAAAAAAAGATGCATATACTACAGATTGTATTTTCAAAACATTTCAGTTCACAAGTAATGACGTGCTTTTGAATACCTCAAGTTTCAAACTGTGGCACTCAAAGTGAGCACATTCATTTGCTACATTTCTTAGAAAGAACCAGAGCATCACCGAGCACTTATGCAATCAGTGGAAAGGTATTGCATCTTATGCTTCTCCCTGTCGAGCAACTTGTTTGCAAGCTCATGCAATGCTCTACAGAAGCGTTATGGTAGCTTGCTGATGATCAGTGTCCCTTGTGTATGCGAAAAAAATAAAAAGCCACACTGAGGTGCCTGTTTGTACTCGTACCTACATTACTGGAGTAACACTGATGAAAATTAATGCAGTTAAATTGAAGCATCTTCGCTATGCTTCTTAAATCTATTGTCACAAGCAAATTCCAAATAGCTGGACAACTCCAGAAACATGAATGAGGGTTCAAAGTCAGAGAGCTCAGAATCAGTCTCCCTATCCTGCCACTCACTAGTGCTGATAAAGGGGTGTAAGTGGCACATATAGTTAAATTAGGAATACCTTCTCTCAGTCTCTATTTAATTGCTAGCACAGAACCTAAAACTCATGGAGGGAAGAATATCTGAAGATAATGGCCATATTTCAAGCCATAAGCACACAAAACAATTTATTTTGACAAAGTCAAATTCAGGCTAAGATTGAGAATTTATTATGAATTGGGGAGCTACTACCTTGTTATCTAAATTTGTTTTTCCACAGGAAAATATTAAAACCAGGCATGAAGCACTATTTAACATCACCTCTTTTCACAGAGCATTTCTTTAACTGATTCAAAGGTCTGAAAAACATTCAGCTGTGGTATGGCAGCAACGTGTGGTGGTGACAAGCTCGACTCTCTAAAGAATACCCTTCCCTAATTTCATTTAACTGGAAAAGTCTGGGCCTCACTGCAGCAATAGCATATATGCAGCCTGTCATGCCCCCAACAAAAAAAAAGCTCATTCTTGCTGTAGTTTAAATATGAACTTCCCCTCAGTGATCACTATTGATTGTGTTCAGTTAAACTTGCACAAAGTTATATTTTTTCCTTTGAGTTTTAGCCCACTGTTTGGATTTAATCCTATTCTCCTTGGCAAGGCACACATATTTTTCCTTTCTCAACCACAAATTTCCTAAGTGGAGCAATGATGTCACTAATTGATAATATGATAAACCTTTCAAGACTTCCATTAAAGACTGGGGACTTGCTCTGTTGATTCCTATGCTTCTAAACCAAAAGTCAGTCTCTCCCCAAAGGTTTATGAATTGCTGTACTAAAGGATAATAGCATCACTGAAGCTAAGAACAAGATTTGGTCGTTGTTCAACGGCTGATTTTCCAAGTGGTAAGTAAAATACAAACAAACATGGGTTACTCTGCAAACGGTTATGGCTGCTTATTTATAAAGATTTGGGCAGGTTTTAAAAAAAAAATCCAGATTTGATGTTCATGGGACAGATTGTTGACATGGCCACTAAGAAGCTATACTAGATCATTTTCCACAACGTGCAGCTTCTTAAATACCTCAAACTCTGGTTCTGATCTCCCTGAACTGGATTAATTTTATCTGTTATCTAGTAAACCCTTTCAGGGAAGCAATATTAGGAAAGCTTTCCTGGATAGAAGTTGGCTCTACAATGTGATTTTACTCAAGACAACAAAGTAGGCAACATTACTTTCTGGAAAAAAAAACAAAATAAAACAACAACAAAACAAACCACCGTCTCTCCCAGAACTTGCAGGGAGTCTGATGTCAAAGCAAACTGTAGCTCAAGAATGGCCCATCACGAGAGTGAGTGAATCTTGGCAGTAAGACAGCCTTACCTGTAACAGCTTTCTGAGAACGTTACATGCCTTGAATTGATCTAAGCCTCACTTTAAAACAAACTTCTTTCTGCATACTTTATCACACACACAGACACACACTCTCACACTTCTTGCTTTGAAATACCGCCTGTTAAAATAAAAGTATCTGAAAATTTACATGCTTATTCAGGTTTTACTTCAGATGTAACAAAGGGCAACAATATTAATTAAGCAGAGAGATGATGGTAAATGAAAAATGCTACTAAACAGCAACACCATGGGGATAACCATGCCATATGCACTCTCTACCTGCCGGAATGCAATGCTGCTGTATCAACAAGGAAAGGCAACTTTTTGTCACTATTAGCATAGCTGAACAGATTATGGAACTTCAGAAAATGATCCTAACATAATAGTAACAGTAGCTTACATTTTTACATGCAAAATGTAACACACAACTTTCTGTTTTGCGCAATAATTCATCCAATCCACACAAGCTAAGAGACAAGGACCTTTTGATTCCCTTTTCTTGAACCGCCTTGAAAATTTTTACTATGCTTCTCAGAAAATAAAGGCTGGTTTTGAGGTATATATGCAGTTTTAGAGCGGCTGCATCAACGTTTTTTAGTAGAAAGCAGAGCATGCCTCAAACAATATTTTTCTCACTCCTACCGCCGACAAGTCTGTAAGGATAACATAACTTTTAAGAGCTACTCTCAAAGGACATTTTTATAGGTCTTTTTTTCTTTTAACTCACTCTGATTTTCCCTCTGTTGCCCCATCTTAATACTGTCACACTATGTGAGGTCCAGAGTTTATGATGCAATTTACACCACTTGATTCAGTGCCTCTCAGACACACGTACTTCCAGAATGAAATGATTGTAATAGTGGTCTAAGACTAGCTTGTGTAGCAAGATTATCTTGAAAATAAACTTCAACTGTAAGAATTTTCCTTCTACTTCTAATCCTGGATTTTCAATCCCACTGTAAATTTAAATGTCTTCATATGAAAATATTTAAGAATAGAAACACTGTCCTGCAAGTTTTACTATAAAATTTTCATTACTAATTCCATTTATCATGAGAACTACTTAATAACTATTTTCAATATTTTCTTTTTAAACTATCAAGGTTTCCTTACATATAGATTGGTATACTCTTTCCGGACAGTATATCACGCTGTCTTAAACCAGTTCAACTCTCCTTTTCTTCCCGGTCACAGTTCAGTACAAGAAGCCCCACTCAGCTAAGCTTTATTTTTCCAATGCTTCTTTAGATCCTGTATCTGGAAGCGTAAGTATATAACACACGGAACGAAAAACACTGACATATTTAAGTAAGACCATACCTGAATACTCCTTCCATTTGGTCTTTAGTGTAGCCTTTTCCACTTTCACCTGCAGCAGATGCATTGCTCTCCTTCGTGCTATTGGGCTTACTTTGATCATTGCTGCTGGCTGGTTTTCGGCAGTAAGTGCCTCCCCCAGCAGTACTTCCATTCTTCATAATAGCTTCCAACAAAACTATAAAACAACAGTATATGATAATATCATTACAGGCATCACCGATTAAGTCAGGGGCTCTCAAGTAACTTAAACTGGAGCACCACATTGTAAAAGACTACCTGCTAAATCCTCCTTTCTTATTAATCATCTCTTTGTACCACAAACGTTTCTGGAGCCAGTCTAGCGCCTGCTTTTCGTGGTGAAACAATGGGAAAACATTTCAAAATTAGTGACTGGACTCCTCTCCATCTCTGCCAAGGTAATTTAACAGTGGAGAGAATGTGTCCAATTCCTTCATTTCCAGATGCTTTCAGAGACACCGAGCCCATTCTTTACCAAAACACCTGAATAAGCAACTGTAAATAGAGAAAAGGAACTAACATAACACTCTAAAGAATCAGAGAGTTATTCCATACAGATATCAAGCACATCTCCTTGGTACCTATGCAGACTTGTCCTGGCAACAGATTTATTGATATTTACAACACAGTGAAATTTCAGTCAGATTTATCAGGTAAACAGATTAGTAAAAAAAAAAAAAAAAAAAAAAAAAAGAGTTATGGTCTTTGCGAGAAAATTGATAATTCATCTCTGTTGTTTCTTAAAAAAAAACCCACACACAATAATCACGATATGGAGTACTTCAACAATTAAGTTTCTGTGCCTTACTAAAATTAGAGGACAGAACTGAAAAAAAGATTCTTTGACAGCAGATCAAACCCCTGGTATCTCAAAGTTGCAACAACAAACACTTTTTGGCAAACAGTTTACTATGGCAATGTTAAAAAGGGCAATAGAAGAAAAAACTCTGCTCCTTTCTCAGACTATCATCCTTACAAGTCATTGTAACAGAAAGACGAGCAACAGAGGCTGCCCAAGGGAAAAGACCACGGCATCTGACCAAAGCTACACTATAAATTCAGGTCATCGTTTGCATTAAACGCTTCTATTGGCGGCTGCTGGGAAAAAGAGACAAGACTTGGTTGATACTCAGCTCCCTGTCTTTCCCAACAAGTCTGCCTGCTGCTTTGTTACTTATAGCTGAGGTCATGAACAAAGGACTGCTTGACTGAGATCAACCATGACAAAACATCTATACGTTTGCAGGAAACGGAAAATGAGAAGCAGGACGGAAGGACCATCTTGCCTGTAGAACAAGAGTAGATATCATGGGAACATTGACAATCCTGGATTCCAGATAAGAGACATTTATTATACCGCTGTTAATACCATCAACAACCCAAACACCCTTTTTTTTTTTCCCCCAACAACCCAAAGACCCGATTTTCTAACGTGGAAAGAACGGTTTAGGACACAGGCTCGGTCCCTGAGTGAGCCAAGGAATTCAACTTCACTCATGTCACAACCGATCCCATCCTTATCTGGAAAACAGAACAGGTACACCTGTATCTCAGAAGAGCACTGATGATATAGTCATGACCAGGGTGATAAGAACGAGAAAGATGAAGACAGAAGTTACGTTTTTGTCAGGCTAGAAAGTTGTAATGCACCCCTCTAGAGTTTTCTTTGAAGCAGCACATTTCAGCTGCTACAGAACACAGCTATTTGTAACCTGAGCCACCAGCGGCTACAGACTGATGCACTCTACCCCATTCAGGCAATACCAGCTGAAATTCAAACTACTGTTAAATGCCACAGATGAGTCAGGACCAGCCAACTACACTCACCTCTTGAGTCCTGAATCTTAAAAAACAGCGTACTTTTGCTAGACCTTTAAATCCTCTTCCCTTCCGCAATCCAACACATCTCAAATGTGTCAGTTTTAATAGATCACCAGACATGAACTTGCCTTTTTGTTTCTGGATACAAGCCTGTGTTTTGGGGTGTGTGTCTTATCAACGCCCTGCAAATAGTACCATTCTCACCTGAGGGACTGCACGAGAAACAATGTGTGTAAAAGACCACCTATTTAACAGTCTTTCTTGATCCTTACTGAAAAACACTCCACTCGTCGTGGAAGGATGTGTAGCTTCACTGTTAAAAAGTATTGCCTTCTAGGAGATAAGGAGAAGAAGCTTGAAGGACTTTCTTCTAAATCTAACGAAAAATTTATCCTCTAATAACGTGGTCAGGCTTAGAGCAGCAGCAGCAAATTGAACACTACAGGCTGTATCTCAGACAAGCACAGGAAAGAAAAGAAGGCAGAGTTTTATTTACGGAAGAGAACCACTTCCTTAAGATGTGCCTCTTTTTTGCTCCCCACTATTTGCTTTAGTTTTTATTACTCACTGGCCACAGCAGTCTGAAGGACTGCAGACTAACAGCTACACTCAGCCTGAACAAGCAAGTCATCTGACTTCAGCCGCCAGTCCTGTGCTGTTGCCTGCCTCAGCAAGACTCATCATTTGATCAGATCAGGCTTTTTCACTGCAGAGGAGAAATAAACAAGCAGCTAATAATTAGATGTTGAGTTGCATACCAGGAGAGAACTTTCACAGCAAATGAAATGAAGTTCTTGAAAACAGGAGAGCTATAATCCCATTATGGATTATAACTGAAGCACATATCCAAATATTTTCATTAGGTTCTTCTAACATCATCTGTTATGGCAATAAGTCATTCACTTCAGAGCTTCAAATAACAACTCCAACAAGATGACTTTGTCTGCAGGCTGAGAACTAATCAAGAACAAGAGACTTCAACAGACAGAGCCTTTAAAATGAGCATTTCTGGTCCAAGATCGCTCCAGATAAATGAGAATAGAAAACAACATTATTCTTTTTCTATTTTGTGGCCTTTAATATAAAATAAAGATAACACTTGGGATCCTATTGGACACATGACCCTAACTTACCCTCTATAAATAATGCTGAATCATCAGCTTTGCAAAGCCTGTCTTTATATTGGCATTTCTCTATAAATTCCCCATCCCTGCAGCAATGCTTGTGCAAATCAGGAGCAGTAACAGCGGTAGAAATGTTCGTACAGACACCAATTTGCTTTTTTCACTCCTAGTATCTACCTAGAGCAAGTTTAGCTGATAAGTCTGTCCCCAGGACAAGCTTGCCTGCCCAGTGCTTCCAACATTACTACTTCCTAATCATTCTTCTCAGACCTCCCATCCCCACAGTGGAGCTGCACTGTTGAAAAGACAAAGTAGGATGCTTGCAGAAAATATGAAATAAATAAGTGTTAACTTCTTAAGCTAGCAGGACACAGCACAGGCAAACATGCCATTACTCTATGCTGAAAAAGAAAGTCATACAAAGGGCCTAGGGACACTTTTCTTCAAGTAAAAGATTCAGTTCATATACTCAGAAATAAGAGCTGGACTCCTCCAGGTTGCAAGACAGATCATTATCAAAAATCATAATCTATCTTACTATTTTGACTGAACAGATCAACCGCAAAACAATTTTCCAGCAAAGAATGACGCCGACACAAAAACCACTACTATGAAGCTATTAGCTAAATATTGAATAAACACTGACCTTACATTTCACACTACTAATGCCTTAAAATAGCACTGCTGCAGTCAGCGTATTTCAGGCAGAAGCCTCTTTGAGCAACACTATACTTCAGCAAGGAGTGAACCAGTGCTGAATGCAGTTTAAATGCAAACGTAGCTGAAGACGCACCACGTGTAGTACCATTTCAGAGACAATGGTTAAAAGCTGCTCTCTGTCCTTTCATAAACCACTAAATATCAGAAGGTGGAAGCTCAACAAAAGGAATTTGGTGAGCGCGAGGCCAATTTCTGCACCCACTGGCCTCTTCGATACCTTCGGGGAACAGCAGCATCAGGAGTGCTCTGCTTGTTGTCCTCCTCTGATCAAGCCCTTTAACGTTTTTAATCTTTGGAGCCTGCTCTCTACCTTTTTTCATCCACTGACCCCTCTAATAATTTTTCTCCCTCAGCTTTTTTTTCTTAGTCTCCCTTTCTTCTTCTCCTCTCCTTTGTCTTGTTGATGTTTGCTACGGATGGGCTGATTCCCATCAGTAAAAATAGTCAGCACTATCATTCGCATCGCTGTTTTCATGGATGGAACTTCATTTGTGAAATGGTGGGCAATTGTTCCCAAAATTATAGTGAATATATACCTCATGGAGAATATCTGACTCCTTGGAAAAATGGGTAAGAACTATCTTCTAATGCATATCCCAAAGAGAAAATAAGCAAACACAGTGATAACTGGGGCTGCACCATATTGTCCTATCTCCAAATGAAACCAACACATTATGACTGTAAAATAAGAACTTGTGTTAGGATTAAGGGAACTTAAAAAAAACTTAAATGTTCCCTTCTCCTGGGTATGCATTACTACACAATTTTTAATTGTTTGATGATTTACTGGTGTCCAGAGTGGACGCCATTTAATTTATAAAGAAGGTGACAATGAGATAATGAGGCAGTCATCTCATTTTTTTCTTAGTCAGTGCAAGATTCCCATTCTAATTTATTGCACATCTTCCAGATCCTGTCCTGAAAACAGGACATTCTGTGTCCTTGCAGGCTACTGCACTTATAACAGGGCTATTTAAGTGCCTCACAAACTTACAACAAAAGAAGAAAAAAAGAAAAATAATTCAATGAGTTGCTGTTATTTTGTGAGGAAATGGGCTAGATCGAGAAGAACCACCAACCTCTACAGTTAGAAAACTGAAGCACAGAGATACAAAAAGTCTACAGAGTCCCCTAATTTCTAAGCACCTAGTTCAAATCAGGCCTAGGGCGTGATTTTTCAGTGGTATTAGGGCACCTGCAAGTCTCATTAGCTTCAGATGGAGCTTTAACTGCCCACCAGTTCCACAAATCAGGCCCTTGTTTCAAGCTGAATACCTGAAAAGTGAAGCACAAACAATTAGCAGTTACTAATGAAAATCGAGTGAAGTGACTTATTTAACACCACAGAGAAAGTCTGAGAAGCATTTAGCGTCAATACACTAAATTGTATATTCCCCAGATTACAGTCCACTACCATAACCACAAGGCCATCCTCTTTTCACCAGATCTCTACCTCACTTGTGACACACTTTGCTAATTTCCACAGCG